GATAAACGAGGGACAGCTGAGAAATATAACATTTGAATCCATTTTCTCTTTTCCCCTGAGGCCTGGGGGAAAAATATCGACAAGTCGATGAACATCATTTACAGATATATTGGGTAAATGCCCAAGACATCTATAGAAATGTAAATCGCCGCTTTATTTATTTATTTGCTTAACTTGTTTTGGACCGTAAACAGGGCGCGAATAGGACACCGGAAACAAAGCTCCCCACAGGAGTTTCCGCACCGGAAGTAGCATATGCTAACGTGCACATAGTCAATTAACTGAAAGAAAAGTTCCTGTTCTTTCACTTAGAATCGAATTATGTGGCCCACGATGTAAAATAAGTGTGACATCCCTGATATAGACAATAGCCTACTTTCTTATGCAAAAACCATCACAAACATAGCAAAAAACATACTTCTTTATCTTTTAATGTCAGTTTTTTGCACTGCATTGTGCACTTCATTTTAATGAATTTTAATGCCATTTGATATTTGCTGTGCTTTTTCCCCTACATTTTATAAGTCATATTTATATCTATTTTCCTGTTTTACTTTATTGTATAATAAAGTAAAATAAAACATTAAAAATATCAATTTAATTCCAAATTTAAATGCTAAAAAATATTTATTTGAATATATACTTATTTTTGCTTTATTGTATTTAATTTACTTTTATTTCAAATTCGTTTTTTTTTTTACTTTTTTGAGATATTTCTTTTCTCGTATTGAATTTTATTTTTTGAGTTCTACTTATTTTGTTAGCCTGTAACTTTGTTTAGCTTTTTTTTTTTTTTGTTTAGCAGAATTTACCCACTTAATAAATTAAGCGATTCTCTCATCGTTAACATAAGATTACATAATTCGGCGGATTCTTGGGAAACATTATAACATTTTTAATAAGATAGTTACAACTTCTATCGCATAGTTGTATATTTAACGGTTTCCACGGCAGAAAGAAAAACCGTTAAAAGGTAAAGTACCAAAGAAACTGTTCCGCTGAAGTAACCATATTGGTTCTGCCTAATGATACATTCCTACTTACGCCTTTCTAGCAGTTGAGCCGAAATGGCGTCAGTGGCGCTGTACGGTAGCCGTTGGTAACGAAAAGACACTGGGACGAGGGCGGACTCAGGGAAGCGGTTTCCGGGTCTCCCTTCCTGGGCTGGGACAGCAGAGAGAGACGAAACGCTCCGGTGGATTAATAGCATTTCAAAGGTACGGACAGGTAAGGTACTGCTCGGTTGTTTGCTGTTATTATGATATATAGATTTTTAACTTTAAACAGTGTAGCGACTAGTCGATGGAACCCTAAGGGAGACAAACCGGACAATCAGTTTGAAGACTAGCTGGCAATATGACACCAGCCGCGGTAGCAACTGTTGCATGCTAAAGTTTGACATGTAACACAGTTTCATCGCTTTTGTAGACCCAACGTCGGTTTATCGAGCAAGTTTTTAAAGAGGAAACTATTTAAGGAACTATTGTGTTTACTTAAGCTTAAGGTACTGGCAAATTGCAAAGTCATTGTCCCAGTAGCAGATATTTGGAAAACTCTGTGAGTGTCTGACAGACTGGGTGTGGTGGACATCTGACTGTTACAGACACTGAGGCCTTCACACACGTTTCAGACTCCCCCTGGCCAGTGACTAAAGCATTAAAATAAATTCTCCTTCATTATTTGACACAGCTGTCCAAATAAACACTTCCCCTTCTTCATGTTTTGAAAAACAGCTGCACTACCCACTGCTTTGAGCTCATTTATTGCCCCATGGCCCAACTGCTGGGAAGCTTGCTACACTTCACCAGGCTTAATCAATTCATAAATCAGCACCATTAAAGAACTTTGCTCCAGATTCCTCTTGTGTACCCTTCCTGACCTCTGCACTTGCTTTCTAACATGCAATTATTCCATGACCTTTGGTTATAAAGCACATTTCCAGAAAAGTAAATTTTGCCTTCAGACATCTTTAACAATAACAGAGGGAAACGATAACACATTCTCATTATGTGTCTGTCTAAGATGTGGCTGAGGGCCACTATTGAAGAATTGTCATCCATCTTTGTTGTGTTTTGGACTTGGTGAAAACATGCATATTTCACTTCCTTTCTTGTTAAGTGGTGAGCACTATAGCAGACTCTGCAAGGTGTAATCTCAAGGCGGCAGCTGCCCCTTACTACAGAAAACAAGTAGGCTTTATGGCCAGCTGGACAGAGATTAATTTGATATTAAAAGAACAACATCTTCCCGTAATGAAAGACGCCCCATGGCTCAAATCAAGCACCTTCACCTTTCTCTGACCTTTCCCCTTCCTCCGACTTTATCTCACTAACACAGTCCAACAGGGATCACGTTTGTTTGAAACTACACAGGGATGTTTCCGATCGTTTTGTACTGCGGTGTGAATGGAAAGGCAAAGCTTCATTCACACCAGCAGAGCCAAATGGACTGTGGGTACTGCTGATGTGAAACTGCAGGATACTTTTCAATTAAGCTGGACTTGTGTCAAAATGTGATTTTTGTTTTTACATAATGTGAATTTTTTTTGCAATAATGTCTTTTTGAAATGTCCTAAAAAAAGATCAATTTGGATAGTAAAACAGAACAAAAATAAACAGGAGAACACAGTTTTAGCAGTTTCTACACTGCCAAACACACTGATGTAAAGTTAAACAGACACATTTTTGAAGATAATAAGTTGACCCAGTAATGTTGTCTTGTTACCAAAACAAATAAGCAAATGATATCAATGTGGATTGCCACATTAATACAAACATTTTGTTTATATGTTTTTAAAGTAACCTATACCTTTCCTTATTTTCTGGCAATTAACTAATCATTTGATTCAGGTGTGTTGACTCAGGGTGATATCTAAAACCTTCAGGACACCGGCCCTTGAGGTCTGGAGTCCCCCATCCCTGACTTTTAAAAAAATTATTATTAAGAATGCCTCAAGTTTCAAATATTGAGGGCATATGTTTAATTTACCCATGTTATCCATAAGCTTAGGCTTATCTGGATGAGGTTTTTGTTTTATTCTTGCATTTATTAAGATATTCTTTATTTTGTGTTGCTGAAACCCAGAATAAACCCTGTTTCTTCAGTTTGTTTTATATGTACAGCTAGTTAGAAACTTGCCTTGAATACACAGCATGACTTTACACCACCATTTGTATGAAATAGAAGCAAACCTTTTGAGTGTGAAAAATTAAGCCTTAAACCTGCAGCATTGCTAAATGCCAGCAGGCCTGTTAGTTTCCCTTGATTGTAGTTGGCTGTCAAAAAGACTTCCGATAAACATCAGTCCTACAGTAGTCTGTGGGAAAATGGGCCTAAGTAAACAGAGAGAATTTTAATTTTGATGATTTTAAGTGTCAGAAAGGAGGATTAGCCTTGCAATTTTCAAGCTATTAGCCAATTAACTTCCAGTTTCAAAACATCAAAGCTTCCTAACAGGACTTCGTGACTTTATGTTGCTGGCATTACAGGAGTTGCGTCCATCTTTTATACCACAGGTGTCAAACTCCAGGCCTCGAGGGCCGGTGTCCTGCAAGTTTTAGATGTGTCCGTGATTTAACACAGCTGATTTAAATGGCTAAATTACCTCCAGTTCAGGCCCAGTAATGAACCAATCATTTGATTCAGGTGTGTTGACCCAGGGTGAGATCTAAAACCTACAGGACACCGGCCACCAAGGCCTGTGGCTGTAATTATACTCTGCTGCAGATGGAGATGAAAAATTACAACAGTTCTAAATGAACCCAAACATCTTTTTCTACATGATGTTTTTATGCATATGATGTATAGAGACAGATCTTTGATTGGCTAATATTGGCTGAGTATATTGTAAGACAACCATAGAGAAGATTAGTGCTTTCTGATGTTGGAGAAAGTAGTTTTGCAGTGTGATGAAATGAGCATGGAAAAGAACAGGTTATATTACCTCCACCTTTAACTGTGCACCAGTGTACAGCAGCTGTGAGTATTATAAAGATAATATTTTGTTACTGAATGGCTCCCACTTGTTTTCAGTAATTTCCTATGTTGCCCTCATTGTCATAAATCATCCTAAGCTTTAAACTCTGTGTGTGTTATGAACAGTCCTGGTGGTTTGCCTGTGGTCGAAAGGCTTTCTTATTCCGCCAATTGTGGCTTTTTTTCCTCTCTGTGGGCTCATATTTTTAAGTGTTTCCAAAACCACAGCTTAAAAGCCTGTGTCATGTCTTTATTACACCACTTTGGCCCACCATTCCTACCTTCAGACCCCTAAGGGCTGCTTAATTACAGTCAAGCCCCCTTCTCTGTGTGTTGTATTGTCTACGTGTGGAGGTCTTTTGCCAAACATCACTTTATTATGCTCAGCTGCTCTGGGGTCCTGTTGCTTTGATCAGTTGCCAGTAATTTACCATTTTTGTACTTATGCCACTGACTTCATAAAGTCTTCACATTGTTAAATCATTGTTTCATCTTTTTCAATAAGTTCAGAGAGGCCTTAATCCAAGAAGAGCAAGTCTGCAGACCTTTGACACTGCCTGTCAGGGAAGGTGAATAGTTCTTCTAGCATTGCTGGTCCTTCGTGGCTTCACTCCAGCCAATAAATCAACTGTAAATGCATTACATGCCAACAACTTTGGCTTTCTAAGGTGGCATTTTTCCCTTTTGGCCCTAACTGTTTAATCTCCCCCATGTCTGCCCCACTGATGCCAGTGTGTATGTGTATGTAAGCAGCTCAGCAGCCTGGCCGATTAAATGGCCATTATTAAGAGCGTATTATTGAAGTGTGCCTCCCGCCTGTCTGTCCTGTAGTGTTGTCTTTGAGAGATTACAACTGAGATATTGGACCAGTTTAATTAATCTGCTGCTGGTCTAATGCTGGTTCCCACAGAGCCTGAAGAAGAATAACACTTAGAGTGTGTGTATGTGTGCAACACAACTGAATGCACTTGTGTGGGCTGCTGCTTTAACTCAGATACTCATTAACTGTAAAAACACATTAATAACTGCCTTTGTTGTGTTTTTAGGCCTGAAACAAATGATTTTGTAGGTCATGAGTTGTGACCATAGAGTGTAACCATGGTGTCACCCACCCGGTGTTTAGTGTGTGTAGTGTCTATTGGGATTTGCTCAACCTTCCTCAAACTGTGGGTGATGTGTACATACTCCAAACATGGCAGCACTGTGCCAGCAATATTTATGTTTCCACAATGTGCTGGCTGGCCTGTCATGCAGTTTCTGAGACTAAAACCTTAGTAAAAGTGGTTAGCTCTCAGTAGCCTTCTTAGGGGGAAAAAAGGGCGCTGATATTCTAACACTACCAGTCTTGGTCAGAAAGCTGCATTCACTGACTTTGATGCTTTGCGCCACTATGAGGGTAACATTTCTAAATTCTTGAATATATTGCTACTCTTTCAGGATGTATGGCTGCTGATTGGCTGTCTATTAAATTTTCCTGTCCTCCTAATGTATTCAAATTTCTGAAACATTTTTAATTTTTAACAGTACTTGCAAAAATAACAAGAAGCAGGTTTTCTGTTTCCAAATTCTTCACTCTGTATTTAGCGGTGACTTGAGCAAAATTCTGTCATGGATTTGATTATTATAACCACTTATTTAATTTTGTGTTTATTCATCCAGTGCAGCCAGAGTAGCTCTGATCCACCAGGGCTTGGCCAATGGGAGATTGTGGTTTGCCCTCTGTGTCTGAAAGAGTAGATCCTTGGGAACTAAAAAGTGTAGGTTGGAATCTTTGAATCTTTAGCTTGTTCCAGTCATCCTTTCTCATTCCAAAGCATTACGTGATGCAATTATATTAGAGAGTGTATTCATCTCACCATTGTGTGAGTACACATGGTGTCTTTTAATGTTGGTGCCTTGAGTCATTGGTCATGTTTTTATTAGTGTCCTAATTGAGACCCACAAAGTCTGTGTAAAGATGTTGGAGGGTCGGCGGCAGCATAAGTCTTTGGTTTATCATCTCATTCTGTGCTTTAACAGAATTACCTTTCTTTATGGCCCAGAAATTAAACTAACAGAAACTAGGCTGCATAGATGGGTTGGATTGGTATCTGGGAACTGGAGGCTGGATTCAGGTTTCTGGTTCTTTATAGTGCAATTCAAGCAATTTCAGAGCAGTGGTATGACAGCAGGGAGGAGGCTGTTGTCATCAGGGAGTGCTATTGTTGAGTGCTTGGTTGTCGACAATGTTTATGTAGATGGCACTCATCCAATTAACATCCACATGAATCCAGGGACTCAAGGTTTCCGTGGAGATTGCTTTAAAGTTGATAAATTTAAGGACAAGGCCTCATATGGTCTCTGATCACTTGGATTGCCCCTTTACCTTAATTCAGCACTGCTCCATTCTAAATGGTTTGAGTCTCCCCCTTACTGTCCTGCATGCGGTTGGTCTTAAAATGTCTTCAGGGTTCAGGCACGTGTTTCCCCTTCTCTGTAAGCCCAGCTGCCCTATATAGGAAAGGCTTCAGGAACGAAAGGGATAAACAGCCATTGTTCTCCTTGTGTGCTTGGTGAAACCACCCTGTCAGCAGGACAGATCGCTGCCCACTTTGATCTAGATACAGACTACTCCCAACTACCATCTAATACATTTAACAGCGTGAAATGGTTCCCCAGGTGACCACAAATGTGTTTGTCAAATGCCACGGTCAAATCGGGTTCCCATGCCACGTCTTTCCACTGGCAAAGATTACATAACCAGAGTGCATCTCCGTAGGGCAACACACGGAAGCCTGCCTCTTTCTAATGCTTATCACACTCCACCTGTCAAGTCCCAGTGTGTTGGTGATAAAATGGAGCCTGTTCTTCCTGCTCAGTCATTATGTAGCGAATTTATCAAATGAGGCTGTTGCTCTGTCGTCTGCTCAGAGTCATAGGGAGAGCCAGGAGCAATGAGCAGGCAATACTGTAACAGCTTAATGAGAGTCTGGGAAGTTGTGCAGATTTGATAACCTCTGCAGTGAGAGTGATAGTGTTAACAATGGTGTGGACATCTGCATCTGAACTAGGTCTACATGTTTTGGTCTTTTTGCAAAGATATAAGGTTTAAATGTAGCATTTTTCTAATTGTATAAAAATAAATTGTCAAATATCAAAGTTTTTGCTGTTGCTACAGGGTTTTTTTTTGCCACCTTTCTTTGTAGCTTTCTGAGGTTATTAGGATCCCACAAATCAATGTGACAGCACAGCTCTAAAACCTCGAAAACATCAATTAATTATTTTATTCAAAAAGTTGTTTCAGTTGCTTTCCACAAAATAATGTTTTTAAATTTATATCAGTATTTTAAACTAAATGATTACATTTATGATTTGGTTGATTTAATTTTTTTTTGTTTTACATTTTGTTTTTCATAATCAAATGGGTGTTTTTTCAGCTGTGCAGCATAAATCCAGTATAAATATGTCACTTATTTTATGGTGGTTTAACAAATATCAGTGTTTTTTCAGGCTTAAACTTGAACAACTGATTTAACTATAAGGGTGTAAGTCACAACAGCAATAAAATTTTAAAACATAAGGAAAAACAAAGGCCTCGTTGAGCTTATAGGCTACACAAAATGTTATTATTAATTTGCTGGATACAACTTTTACAGAGTGAAAAGTTGTGTGTGTGTGTGTACATATATGTATCGCTCAGCTGAATAGATGCATAAAAGTTATCTGAATTATTACAATGGGTCGCAGCAGGACATGTCATTTACCACTCTCTTTTTTTCCCCCTCCTACAGGCTTGACAGACATCACATAAACAGTAGCGATGTCTCAGTCTGGAGAGAAAGGAAAGGTGAGTAAACGTCAGAAATTTCCACACATCACAGTTTAGATTAAACTATGACAGATTTTTGGTGGGTGGTTTTCTAATAAGGATCTGGTGATTAAGGGCCATGGTACTTGTAATCTCTAACACACACGCCTTCACAAGCATCCACAGAGGATATCCTGTTTAAATGCAACTGTTTCATGGCTTGGCTTTATTGTGTTTAAAGTTTGTCAGTGATATGTATCATCATCAATCTCTCTCTTATACACTTCAACTGTACACCTAGACTTCATAAAATGATGAGGCAGGAGTTGTTTAGAGGATTTATCAGATGAAAGAAATAAGCAGAAAAATGTCATGTAACATACTTATACTATGCTATCACCTAAATGCAAAACATCACATATACTTCTGACTAGTTTGCAGCTTATTTTTTGTAGTTTCTCATCCTATTTGTTTTTCTTGTGCTACAGTTTCCAGATGCTGCAGGTTATGTAGGGTTTGCTAACCTGCCTAACCAAGTGCACCGGAAATCAGTGAAAAAAGGGTTTGAATTTACCCTCATGGTTGTAGGTGAGTGGTCGAGTGCTCAAGTTTCAAAGTGGGCATACCAGAAAAGGTTTGAAGTACTCCACATGTTTTCTCTTGAAAGTACAGATTTATAGTTTAGTCTCTATTTTTCAGGGGAGTCTGGTTTGGGCAAATCCACATTGATAAACAGCCTGTTTCTCACTGATCTCTACCCTGAACGTTACATCCCTGGTGCTGCAGGTATGTCCACACACTCCCATACATGCACATACACACACACACACACTCCCATACATGCACATACACACACACACACACACTCATGCACACTTTAATATTAAAAAAGGCCTACTGCAATGTCTCCAGCAAAGTGTTATTTCAAGTGGAATGCTGAGAATGCTGCAGTCTCAAAATGTGACCCTGCCCTACTTATGACTTGACTTAGATTAGGACTTGGGCTCTAGCTTGAAAACAATTATCCAGGCCCTCACAGTTCAGAAAACACATATCTGTCTTATATGGCAAAACCGACGGTTTGGGGCAAATCTGGTGTAATTTTTCTTATGATTTGTTTTAACAGAGAAGATTGAGAGGACAGTGCAGATTGAGGCATCAACAGTGGAGATCGAAGAAAGGGGAGTGAAGCTTCGTCTCACTGTAGTTGACACTCCTGGATACGGCGATGCCATCAACAGCCAGGACTGGTGTGTTTTTGTTATGGGTTTTTTTGTTGTTGTGGGGGAGTTAGAACAACTTGAGACGTGTGCAGCGTGATCTCCTATCCTCCCCACCTGTTCCTGATGCGCCTTTTTTTCCAAGTTTTGTCTCAGGCTCCTTATTTCCTACCTCTCCTGCCCCTGCATTCTCCGTGTCTCCTATTATGTGTGTATGCGTCTGTAATGTGTCGGTATGTGTGCTTACTTGTGAGGCGTCCTGCTGTCAACGTGGGCTCTCTGTCCAGGATATGTTTCCTGTTAATTGTGCTGGCATAGCTGTATTTCTACATTCTTGGGTCCTCTTCATAATAACTCCACACTTAATAAAAGGAAACGTTTCTTCACTTACCTTTCATTTCTTTCTGCAAGATTTGTGTGGCACTTTTTTAGCATTTAGATTATGAATATTAAATGGTAGGTAAATGAAACCAAATTTTAAGAGCTATTTAGAAATTAAAGACGAAGAGTAAATTTCAGACAACAGTTTAGACCAGCCGTCCCCTACCTTTTTTGTGACACGGACTGGTTTATGTCCGACAGTATTTTCACGGACCGGCCTTTAAGGTGTCCCGGATAAATACAACAAAATAAAACCAGTACTGGTACCGATAAAAAAAAATAACGATCAAAAACCCTGAAAACCATAAATTTCACAACTCTCACATCCTGGTACCAAACGACTCACGGACCGGTGCCGGTCCGGGGGTTGGGGACCGCTAGTTTAGACTACTGAACTGAGAGAAGGTAAAAAGGTAAAAGTTAAAACTGATGGAATAGTATGATTTAAAGATTAACGTTATGTATGTTTGGTTGCTTTGTTTAACACTGATAGAAATAGGAATGATGTTCATTCTACAAGTTGATTTTCATATTTGACTGTTTGGCTAGAAGATATAAAACTGCACCCGTCAGCTACATTTTTTATCTTATGAGTCAGAAACAGATGGTGTGAAAATGGCTGCTTTCCTTCTTTCCTTTTTTAAAAAGTAACACTGCTGTTGTTAGGGAGGTTGAGATGGTGTGCCAATTACAGCAACAAAACTTTTCATTTTAAGTTGATTCCATTGAATTTCCAGCTCTTACAGGGACATAAACCCTTTCAACTGGAAATGACCCATTCATTCAGTCATAAACCAGGAGGATTTATAATATCAGTGATCTATTGCCTGACATGTAAAACTACACTCGAAAGGGTTTTTGTGGGAGTTAAAGCAGGTTTCTGAAGATCTATATCATCCCGTGTGTTCGATTCAGTGGAAGTATGTCCTGGCCTTATTCTGAGAAACTATTTCTTCACTTTGACCCTTCTAACCTAATGACAGGTGTTTTACAGCTCTAACCTGCTTTTTGTGTATGAGAAAATCTAACTTGGAGTGAAAATAAGTTGTGTATTAAAACTTACAAATTCCTTACTGGTGCAGATAAATGTTTTTTGGGGGGACGGGATATTCTGTATTTGATTTCAGTTTTAAGACCATCATCCAGTACATCGACAATCAATTTGAACGATACCTCCATGATGAGAGTGGGCTGAATCGAAGACACATAGTGGACAACAGAGTGCATTGCTGCTTCTACTTCATTTCTCCGTTTGGACATGGGTAAGTAAGCACAGACACAACACTAAAGGCACCAGAAATGAGCTGACTTGTACTTAACACACTACTTTTAATCATGTTTGGTGGTTCTAAAGCAGAACTTCCTTAATTTGGGTATTTCAAAGCTACACAACGCTTGCTGTTTATGACATCTTTAGCATTAGCGTTTTTTATTAACTTGAGTTCCTTTTACACATTTCAGTTCTGCTTTGTTTCTCAGTACTGTCATATGCTGTGAAAGGCAGTTATTCCTTGTCCAATTTTATCATTTTTGTCATTTCAAAACAGTTTTTCACTGTGTCCTAATTGCCCTCTTTGTTCTTCCTTCTTTCCCAGTCTAAAACCACTGGATGTGGAGTTTATGAAGGCCATCCACAGCAAAGTCAATATAGTCCCAGTCATTGCCAAGGCTGACACACTGACTCTGAAGGAGAGGGATCGCCTGAAGAGGAGGGTGGGTTTGATTTTACACCCACAGACACATAATTTCAATCCTAAGATGTCTGTTTTCTGGTATATACACCACATGTAATCATCTTTATTCAAATACTACCACAAAGCCCAAATGCCACTTACTAAAGACACTGTTAATCCAATTAGCGGATATATGTGTACGCCATTAGAAAGTGGCTTATAATCGTAGAATGGAACAAAACAGTATTGTATAGCTTATCTGTCTATAATGGCAGCTTAGCATGTCACACCTCTTTGCGTTCGTGTGAGACTGCACTCGTGCACTTCTCCCTGGGATTGCGCTGATGAACGGCTTTAAGTTTTTGCGTTTCTGATGAAATCACCAGTTTCAAAGTAAAGGGAGGGACAAACCAAGAAAGGAAACAGTAGGAGGGATGGACTGAGGAAAGTTTGTTGTATATAATTTAGATGAAGCACATTTCATCCAGTTTCAACACGTCCCAGATACTTCCTCTTGGACCTGACCCAAGTGTCTGCCTGCCTGCCTGCACGCTTCTCAGCTTCCTGCTGTCCACAGGGGAAGGACATTGTAGTACCGCTCATCACACACACTTCACAGCAGTGTGTTCAGCTGATAACGTCTTGCTTAAGATGATTTAGTAGGATTTTCCTCGTCTTTCCTTGTCTTATTTCCTTTTTTATATCTGTGAGACCACTTGAGTATTCCTTATTTCTGTGCTTTTTGTCTCAATTCAGAGAAAATTGGAACTAGTTGGTTGATAATATGTCCTTTTCTCTGTTTTTATATAATTAATTGATTTTAATGTAAAAATGTTGCCTCAGACTGAGAAGTTACATCAGAAATTCTTTTTGAACTTTAGCACTTTTTGTATTTGAAATGATTAAGTGAGAAAAAGACCCACTCTTTGCAGCCTGGTAAAAAAGCATATTGTGCCTCAGTTGCTAATAACTTTTTTTCTGTCAGCCCTCTTTAATTGAAAGTCAGCCTGTCTCCTCACCTTCCCCGGATGCCCAGACCTCCCACCTGCTTCTCATTCAGGTCTCGGAGCCGGTGGTCTGGCAGGCGTCAGGCTGATCGGCTGACCGGAGTCCAGCTCTGCTTTGTTCTCGCAAACAGCCAATCTGTTTTGTTAGAATCCTGGGCTGTTAAATTTCTTGAAATCACCGATGCAGTATCTTAGCAAATTGCAGGTTACAGTTGGTCATTCAGAACATTTCTTCTTGTACTTGCTGAGACAGCAGGATTTAACAGTGGGCGCACATGAAAACTCAGTAACTGCACTTAACTGCAACTCAAACCTCAAGTCTGTTCCTTTGGCAGTTAAGATTAAAAATACCATGTTTCCTGCCACTGCTTGACCCCCACCTCAAGCTGAAGGAAACCCCCAAGCTTTTTGGCTTTTTGCTCCAGCTGCCAGCCTTCAGCAGGTCAGCTGTCTTTATCAGAGTTTTGGCTCAACTTTTGTTTAATTTTGTGTGTATTTTTCCCCATTTACTATAAAAGTTTAGCCAGGAGAAGTGAAGTGAGAAATAATAAGGGACAAGGGACTCTAAGGAAATACTGTAACAGTATCACTCTGATCTGACCTCCTTTCAGTTAAACTTTCAGTTTGTTCTCATGCTCTGCTAAGTGTTCCCTTAACAGACAATTCCAACTGTACAATGAGCAGCAATTAGCTGCAGAGTTTAACAAAACTGTCAAACTCACGCATACCCACACCCAATAAGATCTATAACATCTAAAGCGATGAAGAAAACAGGAAATATAGAGGATTAGTCAGCTAATCCCATGTGGCTCTCCAAATGATGTTCCTCCCCGTTTTCTCAAAAAGGTCTTTCCTACCATTAGACCACACATTCTGAACATTATTAATACTAGTCTTTTGTCTGGTCAAGTACCTAAGGAGCTTAAGCATGCAGTCATACATCCTTTACTTAAGAAACCAGGCTTAGACAGTTCAGTCATGTAAAATTTTAGACACATTCCCTTTCACACTTCCCTTTCTTAGTAAGATCCTGGAAAGGATTGTTTATACTCAGTTGATTGACTATTTGAATGACTCTCAATTGTCGGAAATCTTTCAGTCCGGCTTTAAGCCATTTCACAGTACGGAGACAGCCCTCGTAAAAGTTATGAATGACGTTCTGATAGCGACAGACCTAAATATGCAGTGCTGGTCTTCTTGGACATGACCGCTGCATTCGACACACTGGATCACGATTTCCTGATCTCCCGCTTACAGCACTGTGTGGGAATTTCTGGTTCAGCACTGTTGTGGTTAAAATCTTATCTCTCAAACAGGACCTCTTGTGTTAAGTTGGGGTCGGCTTCATCTTCTGTGGCCCCTCTGCTTTGGGGTGTGCCACAGGGATCTATTCTTGGGCCATTATTGTTTGCACTGTATCGTTTGCCTCTTGGCGCGATATTTCAAAAACATAGTGTCATTCCATCTACATGCAGATGGCTGCCAGCTTTATTTACCTTTTAGTCATCCTGATAGTCTCCCAAGTCGACCTCTGCTTGACTGCCTTAGTGATGTTAAAGCATGGTGGCAAAAAACTTTTTACATTTTAATGATCGTAAGACGGAAGCGATCTTATTTGGCCCAAATCGTTTTTCTGATGCTCCAGATGTTGATCTTGCCGCTTTGACTTCCATTTAAAGAGTTTGATCACAAATCTCGGAGTAAAAATTGATTCTGCACTTACCTTTGATGGTCACGTAAACGGGTTGGTAAAATCAGCATTCTATCACCTCAGACGTTTATCGAAGGTTAAGCCCTTTCTTTCCAAGCGTGACTTGGAAAGTGTTAATCATGCTTTTATTACTTCACGTTTGGATTATTGCAATTCTCTTTTAATAGGGGTTGGGCAGGGCACTTTGTCACGCTTGCAACTAGTGCAAAATACTGCAGCACGATTTTTAACTGGCAGAAGGAAATTCGAATACGTCACTCCGGTTTTGGCCTCTCTACATTGGCTTCCAATTGAATTTAGGATCTGTTTTAAAGTCCTTTTATTGTTTTTTAAATCTATAAATGGTCTGGCACCTGTTTATTTGTCTGATTTGTTGAGGCCCATGTCCCCATTCGTTCGCTTCAGTCAGCTGAGCAGCTGTTGCTTTCAGTCCCTAAGTCACGGCTGAAACTTAGAGGAGACTGACCGTTCTCTGTTGCAGCTCCGATGCTTTGGAATAACCTCTTCTCCATATTAGACAAGCTACATCAGTGCCAGTTTTTAAGTCCAGATTAAAAACCTATTTTTATTCCCTGGCTTTTAACTCTGTGGGTAACTGATATTTTCATTAATTTTATTGCTATGTCTGTTTTTTGCTATTTTATTACTATATTTATATTTGTATTGTACAGCACTTTGGTCTACCAGGTGTGTTTTCAAAGTCCTATATAAATAAACGACGACGATGATGATGAGCTATCTTCCCTACATTTAAAAATGGCACCATGTGGCTCTTAGGAATGTATATTATTTGTACTGACTCTTGTTTGTTTACAATCTGGGCATGTACAACTTTTATCTCCATCTTTGTATAAATGACTAAACTGCTGTGGCGGTTCTATGTGGGTTTTGTGTATTTCATATATACAAGGATGCCCTACTTTGATGATTGCAAAGCTGCACTTTTTAGTGTCAGTATTACAATCTTTGGTCTTTAAATAAAAAAAAATAATACATATTACAACACAGCTGAAGTTGAACAGAATTGTACTGATTTAACTGTTGAAGTAAAAAGATGAACCAGTGAACAAGAGACTCCTTTTCGAAAGTGGAAGCACATAAAGTCTACTGCTGCTTTCCAGCATTTTGAGTTACATTAAAATGAATCATATACTGGGTGAGATCAAGAACTTCCACATCTTTGCCCATAAAAAACAAAAACCATACCCGATTTCAATGTGGGCTCTATGCACTTCGATGTTGCCTCCTTTTGTACCATCTTCAGCTCCCAGCGCATCTGCTTTCAGATGCTCAACCTATTTATTTTCCCTGAAAGTCCTACTTGGTGGTGGGATCATTGCCATCAAAGTGAGTTCAGATTGACACAGGACTTGATGTTTACTCTATACAAGTTTGGCAGTTCTGGTGAAATCGCAAACGTTCTTTTTCAAAAAGTAAAAGGACAGTAAAATGGTCCAAAATTGTTCAAAATGAAATTGGGCAGCAGAACTTTTCATCACTCTTTACATAGGAAATTATGTTGGAATGAAAATGACGGCTGACTAATTTACAATGAATTCAGGATATTTCACATATCTGACCCAGTAATCTGTTTTTTTTGCATGTTTAGAAGTTTGACGTGCCATGGTAATGCCCATTAATCTCTATTACATGTCTCTCGGGAAAATGGACGGGAGTATTTGTTGGGTTGATCAGATAAGTTCAAGTGGCTCTTAGGTATACGTGCCTGACTCCTGCTGTACAGTCCTGTACAGTACGGCACCAAGGCCTTCCTTTGAGGTCAGAGCACTATCAGCCAAGAACCTGCCAGAAAGCTGAATGCTGGAGAATGATTGATAACCTCCAGTGTTTCTCCCACACAATTTATTAGTTTGTTTTTTGCAGAGCAGTTTCTCACCGCTCGGAGAATTTGTTTCCCCTCCCTCAAAGGCTTGTACAGTCCTTTCCCCTATTATTAGTGGGAAACAGCTTGTATAGAACAATATAAATTTCCTGCAATGTGTCAAGACTGTTCCACTGACAAGACACAAGTAGCACAGCTCAGGCTCAAAGAACAAATTGAACAAGCGTTCACCGGAACCACTCGTCATTTTCCTGCGTTTTAACCAGTTCTTCCCTTCCTGGCAGTGCTTCCCCCACCAGCCTATTATTTTCTCGCCCTTCATCTTTGTGTCCTCTTTTTTTCTTTTTCTTTTTTCTTTTTTTTTACGCTTGCTCTAATGCCAATTTCCTTCACCAGAGTCATCGTGGTCTCTAGCTCATAACTTGCCCTGAGGAGGGTATATTGAGGGTCTGATCCTCTCAGTCTGGGTCCCTAAAGTC